TTATGACGAAACTGCAGAGTAAACTTGTGGTACAATTAGGCACCTAAATAACGATTGTCGATGAAGTAAAGTACAGATTCAGAACCTTAAATTTGATTTTTGTTTCTATAATTACAGATATGTGGCGTTGTACGGTTTCTGTTTTTATCTAGAAGGTGGTGTTAAAAATTGAATAGTTAGTACTGAGTTATCTAATATTTTTATTTATTGAAAGCATTTCCCTTACACTTTTTTGTTTTTTTTTTTGAGTTATGAGTTATAATTATAGTTTATTTTTTGTGCTAACTGAGCATTGTACAGATTTAAAGATTTTATGGGCGTGTAATTTCGTTATTATAATTACATTAAGCTCTGACTCGTTTTATTCAAATAAGAAAATAAACATGTCTTTACAATCATTAGCATTTGGGCAAATGAAAGACCTGAAACACATTTCTTTTCGTTACTTTTCACGGTAGTAAAATATTGTCTGTCTGTCTGAACGTGATTAAATCCACAAGTGTTTTCATACGGTTTTGAGAAATTAATACATTATTTTGTTTTATTTTTTAATAAGTTTTGCGTTTTCCATAAGAAAGGAATCTGATAAAGTTTTGTAAGTACTGTATTAGAAGATCTGTTAACACACGATGCAACTATACCGGCTTGAATTCAGTTAATAATTAAGAAGTTATGGGTGGTGGTGGCCATACTCTTTGCATTATATGCATTGTATATTCAAAACCTGTTTACTGAGAATGCCAACCAACGCCAAACATTAACATTGTCCATAATAAATGCGTTTTTCTCGTTTTGTTTTGTTTTACCATTACCATTAATAACATATTAAAGCCTCATGGAGAATTTTCAGATAAAATATGTAAGAATTGTTAAAGGCTCTGGTTATGTGTACGACGAGCAAGGAAATGGATTCGTTTTGCTAGCGACAGGCATACTGAATCAATGCTTGTAAAAGAGTTCAGTGAATATTGACAAAGTATTTATTTTATTAATACCTAACTAGTTTTATATCACTAGGTAAAACAAAATAAAAACATATTAAATCAATATGACTTTTAAAAACTCTTTACATTGTTGACAGTAATGGAGTAGGCCACTCTTCGTCGTTAAGTCATTTTTCATCTTTAGCTGTTTTTATACAATTGACATCTATTATTTCAATATAGTCAGTACTCAGTTAAATTGAGCTCTAAAACTCTATAAAATCAAAGGTGTAACAATGAAACCTTGTGTAAAAGTTTTGTAAATCTGAATTCTAGGTATTAAAAACAAGATAAGTTAGTTATTCATTATTGAAATTCGTTCACGTCGTTAATAGTATTTTGTTTACCCAATACTATCTCTGTCTATCTATCTATTGCTATTAACATAGAGCCGATCAACTGAATGAGTATTTTTATTAAATATTTTTTAGTACCTGTAGGTACATATATAGGTATCCTTTTATATTCAACGTCCCATTAGTTCTGGTACTAATTCGAACGCTTAAATAATTCACACGGGAGCAGACCTTTAGTTATACACTTAATTGCTTTCTGAAAACATTGAAATAAATTCACTGAACTGGCAGAATTAATTTCTTAATGAAAATAGTTTACATAAAGGAGTCGTGATATATATTAAACTAGTTCGGGCAACGACCTCGGCGATTCCTTAACGTAAAACTATCGGGGTATTAACCCCCCGGGTCCGTCTAGACGCCAAAAATCGGTTCACTCGGCTGATTCACCAATTTTTCTGTTGGGATCAAAGATTAACTTCTATATTAAAATAGTATTGATTAGATATTAAAACATTACCGTTTTGTTTAGCTTTAGTTCAAAGAAAAAATTGAAACTTAACCCGAAATTGGAGTTTTAAAACTCCAACAATGAAGGGTTCATTACTTCTTTCGCTTCTGCAACTTTCATTGCTGTATTCGTACATGCTCTCCAGTTTTTAATGGCTTCTGACATCACTTTGCAATAGCACATGATCGATTTGATCGTGAAAGTGTATCTTATCTATCCGTGGCTTCTACATCCTTCCACTTACAACTTTGCTATTGTTCTAGGATAACCAATTCAAATGGAGAATATGCTTAAAATATAGCAAATTATCATTTACACACCGTATAATTTTAAATCGAGGTTAAAAATTAAACCATTAAAATTTAATTAACACTCTAATTTCACGTTATCTCTGTTTACATTGTCACTGTCTTTTGTTTGCTTTAAGTGGTCAATACTTTAAAATATACTAGTTAAAAAAGGAACTTTGAAAATCGGCAAACAATTGGTGTAAATATCGTATATTTTATATTTATTTTATTAGGAAATTTCATCATTCATCATCAGCCCATATTCGTCCACTGCTGGACATAGGCCTCCCCAATTGCACGCCATCTACTTCGATTTTCATTATTCGATATTAGGAAAACAAACAGTGATATTAAATCTAATACATAATACTGTAGTGCTAACTTTAGTCTTCGTTTTATAATAAGGACTAAGTTTATAAGAAAGTATTACAACTAATATCTGCAATTTTTATTAATTCGTGACTGTTTCATTAATTGGAAGTGCTCGAATGGTTTTGCCGCTGCCTGTGCATTAATAATCTGCAGATATTTAAAAGATTTTTACACTCAGAGCTTTCGCTGAGAGTTTATTAAGTTAACAGACGCTAAGCTACTGAAGCACTAATTAAATGAGGCTGCGAAGCCGCTATGAAAATCCAGAGCAGACTATATAGACTTCGCACTCCTCATACTCTTAGACCTAATTTTAACTTTGTCGAGTGGAGTTGGAATCGCACAGTTTGTATTGAACTTTGGATTGAAATCTTTATGCGGGCTAGTTCCTGGTTATCCTACGTACGTAATATGGAAAGTAAATCTATTCATCCAATGTTTGTGATACCCGTCAGCCAGGAAAATTTTGGTAGTATTATTTTTCTTATTGCAAGTTAAACGTGTGGAGAAATTGCAGTTCTAGAGAAAATGAAGTTTGAAGACTAAATCTATTTCGCATTTACGAATACAATGTTTCAATTACCGACTCACTTCTTTCAATTGAAGTCTACCAAATAACACCATAAAAAGAATTAATATTAATTGGGTAAATTTTCAGAACGGCTTTTTTCCGTCATTGCGGTGGCGAATTTTATTTTCACAATTCACCCAGATCAAATGTGCTAGTTAGATTATAGTTAAAGATGCTGTGAATCCACAAAAATTCTTAAACGCCCTTTAAAACAGTACTTTCGTTTTTTTTGTTTTGCACCATAAGAATGATGATTTAAGTCAATGAATTTTGCAATGAATTAAACAAAATTTCTTAAATATTCGAATAAGAAATGCTATTATATATCTCCCTTATTTATATTTTAATAATAAATTTGTTGGTACCAGAAACCCTGATGCCACAATGACGTAATATAAGGTTTGGCTAGGCTTCATATTCTCACTATTTAGTTTAAGTTATGTAGTAATAATTGAGCATTTAGAATAAAAAACGAAAAAAATTTAAAAGATAACAAAAAATCTTGTACAAACAACACATTTCTCTTAATAACTTAAAAAAGTATAACTACTTAAATACTACATGTATAATGAGCTTTAATTCAGAAGTCTTTCTTTATCTTGAAAAACTTGAAAAATATTGTCATCATCCTAGTTTTAAAATGAATTTTTATAAAATGTAGAAATTAAAAAGCATAGGAAGTAGATGGACATACATTTCATCAGTTCCTAGTTTGAAATATCCCTTTCCCATGCTATAATCTAGTCGCAAACGAATTTACAAATACACAATTGTATATTAGGATAAAATAATATTAAAAGTTTATGCATGCAAAGTATAAATAATATTGATTATACATTTATTATAATTATTGTGGCTATTTTGTCATTCTGGTGGCCAACAACGCCACAGCCATAACGTCATCGTAATGGATTTTTTCATCGCAGTTTCCCAAATAATTAGTTAATCAATTTTATATTTACAGGTCATAATATCGAGGCAATTATCTACAACTTGTCGATACAATACATTATTCTGTTCATTAGTTAAAAATTGCCACCCAATTTACTGATTGCACACGGTGACTAAAACACATTTCACGAGAAACTTACCTCGGCAATTAGTTAAAGCTTGCGCATAAGCCATCCCCTACAGACATTTTAAGGCCCAATCAACGCTTAAGATGTTCCGAAATAAAAATACGACATGACATCGCTTAGTTAATTGAAAAAAAGTAGTCAACTGCAAGCATCGGAAAAGCAATTTTCCGGAGGTCAAAAACATATTGGTCTTAAAATGTGAAATAGAGTAAATATCTTTAAAATGAGATATTTCGATAAAATTAATGTAAAAATTTTGTGTAATAGCAAGTAGTTTTGTGAGCGCTTTTTGAATTGAGACAAGCCTCCCAGGGGTAGGCCGCTCATATGAGTCGGATATTTGTCGTGGAATTTATGTTTTATATTATTCTAATCTATTTTTTATATACGATTCAATTACGAGGTACAATTTCATGAAAACGTAAACTTAGTCTGTATTAAATGATAGTTTTTTTTTTTTTAATATATATAACGTCCGACGTCATAAAAGTTAATAATATTTTTAAACTCACTCATTATAATTATATGCAATCGGGTCTTGTTCGTGCATTTTAGTTCGTGCATACTAATTATTGGTGGATGTTTCTGAATTTTAAAATTGAAGGTACCCTGTTATATGAAATAGAGGTGATAATTGATTTTGAAATAATTTTAGTACCTGGGTGACCGAGCTGTAAAATTTTAGATAAATCGATCTGATCTATCCCCGAAATCTCCTTCATACTAAATTTCATGAAAATCATTGTAATCGTCTACGAGATTCAGCCGTTTAGAAATATTAATACAAGAATTGTATTAGGTGACTACGGTTTCCTGGGTTTTTGATATAATTTCTAAACTCCATTCGATTAAATTGATTTCAGATCATGTAAGCGATTGTCTATTTTATTGGTTTCAGGCGACGACCGGCGCTGAGCCTCAAGTGGCGGTTCTGTGTGAAGCTGGTGGTACTTATCATCCACAGTACATGTCCGCCGCGGGTCGGTGGACTCCGGATCTAACTACCAAGCCCCGGAACTGCCTCAAGGATAAGATGGAGATCTTGGACTATTGCAAGAAGGTAAAACGCGAAAATCAGCTTCAATATCGAAGTTTCTTTGGTCACATTCTGTGTATGAATTCATATTACTAGAATGTTTATGAATTTGACATATAATTGTCGTAATACAACATTTATAATATTTTCTCCAGTTACATTTGGCCGTAGCATCAAATCATATCTCACATAAAATAGAATATTATATTATTAAAAGCTAATTTATGATCTTGTTATACTATTATCTTATTTAATATGAATTTAACCATTAAATAAACATAACTTATGATAATTACTTATGATTTTGAGTCTGATTACCACTGAGCTTTTAATGTCACTCAAAGTAAATTAATCTTTATTGGGCTAATATATTCAATTTATTTAGTATGTCAATACGTTATATTAAATAAGCAAGTTATATACACTCTAATAAACAAGATCTCACGTAATTAAGGGGTCGACTGTGGCTTTCGAAACTAGTCACAAACAGGCGTTCCGGATATTGTGGTCGAGCCTCGTTTCTCGTTTCCACTCACCCTTGATCCTTTTGATTGCGATTGAATCGACTGAAGTGGATAGGTCCATCATTTGGTTGTCATCGTTTACCCGCTCAAATTTTGGCTGAGCCCTCAAAGTGTTTCAGTCTGAAATATATTTTGCCTATTTTTATCATATACGTTCACTTGGTGTTTAACTATTACTTTAATATAAGAGTATTTCTTTTACGTTAATAAAGACAAAGAAAAAACATGTCCAGTAATAATATAATCTTGATTTCTAAATACTAATTGTAGTTAGGTATATCAGATACTACAACAGCCCAACAAGAAATCCATTAAGTAACATTTTTATATAAAATAATGAATAATTCATTAAAGAAAATTCTCTTACTTGGAATGCCTATGGTCCATTATCATAACCTTTATTCACGATCGTGTTATGTTTCCATTTTCTCTTTGGGCTACAGTTACGTCTTATCTTTTTACTTATAGTAAAATGATAAGACTTTTTCCAGTCAACCCAGGTAAAAAATACACCAAACACAAAAAAATACTTAGATATGCATTCTCATTGTCTTTATCTTTGGGTTCTATAGTGCTTGCGATATTTATCTAATTTATGTTCTTGATGATACGTCATTTGCAATATAATGTCAGTAACAGCTGGCAGCAACATCAAGAGTTTCCGCAACATTGCTTGAGGATATTGCTAAAAGGTTAACTACAACAATATAGGTTATATTAAATTTGGATTTATAGTTCAGACAGTTCATCGTATTATGTCATTTGTATAGGTGTACCCGAGTCATGACATCACTAACATCGTAGAAGCATCACATTACGTGAAAGTCAGCAACTGGTGCAAAATGGGAACCGGCAGCGCTTCGAAGTGCAAGGTGACAAGATGGGTGAAACCGTTCCGTTGTCTAGGTATGTATCTATCTTAATAAATATGCTGGATAGGATGCTCGATGATAGAAAACATCAATGTTGTCATCGATTTCAACATAAATAAACATTGAATAGAAAATATCGATGTCAGTCTTATGTGAACACGGAACCTGTAAAGGGTCCGAAAAGTCTAAAATTAAATAAAAACGTGAAGAAACCGTTTAAACGTTGTTTCATTTATGGTTAGTGTGCGTGGAAATATAAGAAATCAATAAAGTGAACCTTTTAAGATATCTATCAATAGGTACAAAGGTCAACGTACGAAATTCTCTCTGTTTGACGACCACGCTATATGAAACAATGGCAATTATGAATTTGAGAGGAAATTTGATTGTTCCTTCATTGCATTTGGCTCCGAAATTACTGGAACGATTAAAAAAAAAACATCTACGAGAAGCTACATCTTACGCAGGTGACATATGCTATAATTTACGCGAGAAAAACAGACGGTTTCAAGAAAACTAGTTAGTAAGTTTGTAATTTAAACTGTTGTATCAACTACATCCGTTTTTTCTTTTTTCATGAGTCTCATTGCACGAACAGTCACTTTATGAGCTCTAGTTTCCGTTTCTAATCAAGAAAGAAAAGGCAGTCGTCCCATAAACTACATAGACAATTTTCTGGCAGAAGGTCCATTCCAATCGGACGCATTGCTGGTACCCGAGAGCTGTTTATTTGACCACATCCACAACCAAAGTCGGTGCTGGCAGTTCGCAAGGTGGAACGCGACTGCTGGCCGAGCGTGCGTGCAACGTGGCCTCCGGCTAAGAACTTTCGCTATGCTGTTACCTTGTGGAATCAGCCTCTTCTCTGGCGTTGAGTTCGTATGCTGTCCGAAACATTTCAAAGGTGAGAGTTATTACGAAAGCTTTGTATAATATTAGTTCGTAGTTAATTACATGTATTATAGCTGTTTATATATTCTTTGATTGGCAACTTGATTTAGGCAGGCAATAGGTTCAATCAAGTACTTAAGTCTTAGTTCTGTAAGTAATAAGACGGAGAGAGATCGGTCCAGAAACAACCGTATGGGCCCAATGCGGATTGGTATATTGATGCAAAAGTTAAACATAGATTTAAAATTTAATCTAAATAAATACCTACACAGAAATAAACAACTTTAATTGGTAGGTATATATAAGTATACATATTGATATAAGAGAAAGCATAAAAGACCTCTTGTTAAACAACGCTCAAAGAGTTTCTTAAAATAGAATGTGCTCATAAACTTTAACATGTATTCTAATATATTTCAATATGAGAAGCTAATAATATCAATAGTATCGATATCGAGGTCGGACTATAATAGGTTTCCAGGGATATCAATTAACTGACTGATTGTTCTAGTCTTAGTTAATGGAAGTAGCCAGGGCAGCTTATCTTAAGAGATATCGTAAACTAGCCATTTGAAATTTGTATAAAGTTTTTCGTCTCATTTTTGACACACGAAAAAATTATGCTTTTTTGATAATATACAACTGTCTGTCAGATCTTTTAAGCGTTTATCTATAAAATATAGCATTATGAATGCAAAATTGATCAAATATTATAATTAGAAAATTTCAAATGTTTGTAAAAATATTTCTTTAGGATGTTTGGGTGGATTTCCTGAACATTGATAAGTAGTAGTAGCGAAAAATAACAAGTACTAGAAAAACTTGGTTTTCGGGCAGCACAATGGTTAGAGCAGTCGCTCAGATAATGAATGTTAGTGGGTTCGAGTCCCGAAGACTGATGGTGATTTTAAATATTTTTCATCAAGAATACTTATCTCTATTTATTATTTATAGCAAATATCATGTATTTACAGAAAATGTTAAACTGCACAAACCCATGGATGTCGGAGTACCAGTAAGCCCTGGAGGTGAAGAAATGCTAGCCGCTTCCGCTGCCATGGATGAACGGGACGACGACCTTTTTGATGATGACGACGCCTTAGATGATGATGACGATGATGACACCCTGAACTTGAGCGATGATGACGACGACGATGATACCGATGATGGTGAGTAACGTTAAAGTATTTTCTTCAACACTTACACATGTCCCATGCATAGAATTAGATGTAAAAAAGCATTGAATTATGATGATACTGAAGATTTTATTCTTCTGTCATTATAAGGATTTCTTATTGGCCAATTGTTTAAAATTAAACATAAATAGCCTGAGAATATTATTGTTTATGAGTTACTGACACTGCATCAATTTTGTTTGGATTATTTTTTAAATAATCTAAGGTTTGATATTATTAAAGTATAAGGAAGGAAAAATAAGTTTTGTTTTCATGGAGGCCATGACCCTCCACACTGGCCCAATGTAGATTGGAGGTTAATGGCTTAACAGATAATAATCTCTCTGAAGCTCGAGATAATATTTTTGTCATCCATCTCGTGACCCTTACGAAAATTGCTTACCAACAACAAAAATGACAAATATTTAACTTAAAAAAATACAATTGTTTTATTTTAATGTAAATCTAATAAGCCTTTTGATTGAACAACACTATCAAATGAATATTTTAACTACAATGTAGCTAACTGCAATATATACACGTTAAATATTATTTATGCATTTGCAGAAATGGATGAAGACGAAGACGCAGAACTATCTCGTGACGATGACGCCGAAGATGACGATTACACTGACAGTGATGATAACGCATGGCCACGACCAGAATCTTCAGCTGCTCCATCACCTCCTACTACTTCGACAACTACTACTACCACCACTACGGTAAGAAGTTGCTATTTAATGTGTTATAATGTACACTTACATATATTTTTAGTTAATAAAAAATAACTTAAAATGCAATTACATTTAATCATTTGTCTATATTCGCATGTTTGAATTTGAGTATCCGGTGTATTTATTTCGAAACAATATAAGTTAAAAATATTTGTAGTTTAAATGATGAAGTACTGATTGAAGGGTTCGATTTGAATTTGTGAATCCGAAATAACGTGTACGCGACCTCATTTATTTATAGTCGATTGTTTCTGATTACATAGGTATTGAATTCAGACAAATGATCAAATGTGATTCCGCTATATTTAAAAGCAATTCTAAAATTTTCATATTGCGATGTATCTTAACTGTGAATTTAAATTTGCAAGAGTGATATGTGCAGTTTTTTGTACTATTTTCTCCTCTTTCTTCAAGTTTGCTATGTAGTTACCATATCTGTTTATTATACATTTAGAAATAACTTTCTAGGCTTCGACGGCAACATCCGACCCCTACTTCTCACATTTTGATCCTCGCACAGAGCATCAGAGCTACAAGGATGCCCAGCAAAGATTAGAAGAGACTCACCGTGAAAAGGTAATTAATTATTGAAAATCTGTTATGTTCCATTAACTTCATAAAAGTTAAAATATAAAGAAATGTTAATATTATATTTACTATAATTATTATTCTTTCAGATCACAAAGGTGATGAAAGAATGGTCAGAGTTAGAAGATCGCTACCAGCAGATGATGAATAGTGACCCGGCCGCGGCACAGACTTTCCGTCAACGCATGACTGCTAAGTTCCAGGCTAACGTTCAGGTAAATAAGGATTTGAATACTATTAAGTCTTTACCAATGAAATTGCCGTTTTTCATGAAATATATGAAGCGTATTTTTTTATATATTATTCAAAGTAGTCACACATGCAATCAATAAATCTTTGCCAATGCATTGGACCACTTAATTTAGTATGCAAATGATATTGTCACTATGTTTTGATCTTGATGTTTAAGTAATTGTTGGATGGTATTCCACAAAGTTCAGTCCTTGGTCCTTCCTTGTTTTTAATTTTGTTTAAAGATTTTCTTTATTTCGTGGGGACAATCACAAATTATTCCACATCACAAACCGAACGTTCTAACTACTGTGCCATCGAGCTCTTACTAAAGCTGGAATCCAATATAATTATATCGTATTCTTGTCTGTATACAGTCTTTGGAAGAGGAAGGTGTTGCAGAACGTCGTCGGTTAGCCGCTCTTCATCAGCAACGAGTGTTGGCACATCTCGCACAGAGGCGACGCACCGCGCTATCTTGCTATACGCGATCCCTTCGGGATACTCCACCTAATGTGAGTCTACATTAGTCTGCGATATGCAATGGCGTAGCTACCAAGGGTCTAGGCGGGGCAGTGCCCCGGGGCCCTCAAGCTCAGGGGCCCTCGAATCTTTACCAGAATATCTCAATCGAACTCAACTTTTGAAAATTTCTCCCTTTTTTCAAAATAAATATGACAGGTGACAACTCGAGCTTAATCATTGCAACTCAGTTGTGAGAAATTCCAAAGTTATAAAAAGGGAATTCCCCTAAATTATTTGTGTGGGTTGACAGTGTTATAAATGTTTATATCGATTTGTCGGATATCAATACCTGCATATTATTATTTATCGATATGCGTTTTGTGATTCACGATTGTGAACTTCGAGTCAAGATTTTTTTGCAAGAATAGTTAAAAAGTTAATGTATCAGAAGTAAGCGTATGTCAATACATTTTTTTGTACTGGTCCATACAAAAGTTCAATTTTATTTGATTATAGTACTTATACATAGTTACGTAAAAAAATCTATAGATTTCGGCTACTCACTATATAACTCAAAATACCGTGAAAAATACAAGTCACATGGGGTATGGGCTGTCCATTAATTACGTGATGTTTTTTTGACATTTGTAAACCCAAATGTAGTAACACTGGAAGCGATAAAATGTTTGCCGGGGATTCCCCATCGAAGTCTTGTATCATATCATACGTTTCGCTTTCCTTTTACTTGTAACGTTGTCAGTGAACAGTGAGTACCTACTTGAGTACAATCTGACATAAATATTGCATAAATAAATTAGAAAACTAATATTATGGACAAAAAAACCCATTGGTGCATTTAAATGCAAGCAATGCCAAGAAAGAGAAGAAACTAAACAAAAATTGCCAAATTTTTTAGTCAGCCTTCTGCAAGTACTTCTGAACAAAATATTTCTATTGATAATTTTTAAAAATAGCTTGCATGGCGATTGGTTAAATAACAGTAAACTGGTGAAACGTATCTATGAATAAATATATAATTAACCCTTGAATCTTTTCTATTTCGTTTTATTGCCCAATACCTATACCAAGTATAAAAATAATTGTAATTTATGTAGTTAGTGTTTAATAGTTTTATTACCTGCCTATGCACGAATAAGAGCTGATGATAAAGTTGCTTAGCATTTTTAAAGTATTTGTATATTTAATGATTTTACTTCAAAAACCCTTACCAGTTTTGATAGCAGTGGGCCCCATTTTTTTATTTGCCCCAGGGCCCTAGGTTACCTAGCTACGCCACTGGCGATATATGAAATTATCTTTCAAAAATAAATTTATTTATTCAGTCTAGGCTGTGAGGAGCACTTACGATTGTGAATTTCTATATACTACGCTGTCGGTTCGCAAATTTGAATCTTATTGAAGATATACATTCTCAGGCGCATAGAGTACAGAAGTGCTTGCAGCGCTTGGTGCGAGCGCTAGCAGCTGAACGTAGCGGAGCTCTAGCTGCTTGGCGCCGTGCTGCAGCTGCTGGAAGGGAAGCCGCCGCTGCTGAGCGTGCTAGCGCTGCTGACAGATTACAGGTTAGATTGGAACTACGTATACTATTACGCCCAGAGTACTCATATACTTCCATAGCTATTATATATTAGCTGTCATCTGTTTTCTGTGTCTGTCATCATATATCATAAGGAGTCTCATTATCGTACTTTGAAAGGTAAAATTAATAATATTCAGCGAGATAGGAGGGCAAAGGTCATGGTGATAATAATATAAATTATGAATTTATTTAACATTAACGTTTATTCAAGGACGCCGACCGTGCTCTACAGCGTGCTTTGACTGCCCTTCGTCGCCGCCCGCACTTGTATTCTAGCATTGGTACTGCTATTGAAGACTATGTTCAGGTCAGTAGAATAAATAGTACTCGTATTTTCGAAGGTAAAAAAAAAGTTTTATTGTGTATTTAGATTTTTATCTTAAATAAGTAGGTATATTTCGTTTGGCTGTGACCTAATCATTCATGAAAATGCTCTCACTAAGTAATAGCAAAAATGATAAGTACACTGTGATTCGGCAGTTTCTTTGGATAACCGGTAGTTCAGAACGAATACTAGCTTGGTTAGCGAAACGTTGCCTTTATCAGTAATGACAATTCCAAAAGTTATGACACTATTATGTACAATTAACTGGTACTGATCCTGAGTGGTAATTTTTTAGTCTATGCAGTCCAAGGACGATATGGCCGTATCCCTAATGTCCATGACACCCGAAGCCGAAGAGTTATTGCTGGACAGGATCGAGGCTGAAGTACAACGAGAACAAGCGGCGAGAGATCAACTGAACGCGAAACGAGACCAGCGCACGCGACAGAGACAGGATATCCAGAACGAGAGGACCAAGGTAATAATAAAATTTTACTATATAATAAAATAGCTAAATCATTATCATATCAGCCGAGAGACGCCCACTGCTGGGCATAGGCCTCCCCCAAAGATCTCCAACGTGATCGGTCCAGCGCCTCCCGCATCCAACGGCTTCCCGCGACCTTCACCAGATCGTCGGTCCTCCTTGTGGGGGGCCTACCAACACTGTGTCTCGCGGTACGCGGTACATATAAATAGCTAAATATATTAAACAAATGTGTAAAATATGAATACTACTTGGCATATGTAACTTGTATCTAGAACTAGTCTAGAATATATAAATGTAATAGTAGGGGAGCCCACGGTGCTAAATTGGGATTTACTCGAGCGTCATAGAGACCTATTGAGTTGCGAAGCTTATATGATAACAAAAAAAAATATTATATTATATATACCTTTTCATCGGTGGGGGAAGCAGCTATAGATTTTTAAAAATGTAAAAAAAAACCTGTTGTGTGGACATGCTCGAGCCCGTCAGATATTAATATCATCCATATCCTATCCATTTTTAAAAACTGTCGTATGTTAATCTGATCGTTTCCATGATGGGGGTGGTTATACGTAAGGGTTGAAAATGAAAAAAAAAATTTAATCGAGCGCGTCAGATTTTTTGAGGGGATGTCAAGTGAACCTAAAAAAAGCTCTCATATAATAATATGACGATTTGGATGTGACGCAAACGCGTGACCATTATTAGAATGTTGAAAAAAAAAATCGCCATTTTGAAATACTCAAGCGCGTCAGATTAAGATATATATGGTTCATCTTTATGCCCCAGACGTGATATCTCATAATCTGACGATTATCTGAAGGGATTTACTTAATATGACAATTAAAAATATTTTTTTTAAGTTTTTTCAAATCATTGAGCTTAATTAAATAGAAAAGCACCGGAGTTAGCATGCAAATAAAAAAGTGTATGTTTTTTTTTATGTAGAATACTTATATTTATAAGAAAATGATTATATAAAAAATTTATTTTTACAGTATTTTTTATTAATTATCATCTTCCTCTTCTTCTCTTAGTAAATATGTAAAAAGTTTTATTCACAAAATTTACATTAAAATAATAAAATAAGCAAAAACGTTGGAAATACGATGTAAACAATATCACGCCACGAACGAATCTGTGTCATCAGCTGTCATGGCGTCATGGCAACCGAAACCAGAGTGGGGACGGAGTGAGAGAGTAATAGATAGAAAAAGAGTGAGAGAGAAATAGTGATGCGGAGAAGGAAATATAGGTATCACGTAGCTGCACGCATTAAATCTTATCGATGAATTTTCATTACTTCGGCTTGTGAAAATCGTCAGATTATATATTTTTCGTAATCCTTGAATGATTCCCTTCAAAATTAAAAAAATTAGCCACGCTCGAGAATGTCAAAGTGACGTTTTTTTTACAACTTTGTAGCCTTCCCCCTTCTTTACGTCACTCTCAAATTGTCAGATTAGAGGTATGTACACATTTTAGCATGTAACTAGCTCACCTTCCCTTAATCTGACGCGCTCGAGATTTTCAGATGATCAATTTTTTTTACTAATCTGATTCTTCGTCCTTGCTGGCGGCCATTTTTATAGGGCTCATACTCGGTCCAGGTACTTAACTGGGTACAAGGTATCCCCCTGTATATTAATCTGCCGCGCTTTAGTAAATCCCGAAATCCCCGCTTCGGCTTCCCTACTATAATATGTCAGGTTATTTTATTCAATGTTTTGTTTTGATCTATCTATCATCCTTTGTTCACATTACTCAATTATATTTATTTAAACTTTGCAGTATATTGAATTATTTCCACTGCCCCATATCATATTGGAAAGATACAAGGGTAAGGGTATCAGAATAACAAACAAATCATTAAAATTCGAAACTGCTCAAGTAGGTACCTATTATATGATTTGAGAAACAAGGAAGAAAAACAAACTTAGATAAGCTTGATTTCACAGTTATTAGTTAGGTCTGCAACTGTGAATATTAAGCATAACAATCTCTAACCCCGCTATGCTTCGAGCACGTCAAACCATTTGCTCCCAGTTGTATCTGCAGTCTATTCTCCTTACACCTTAGACACAGCTTATACTTTATGCTTTTCATAAGTGGAACCAGGTATTTATCAACTTTCGCGAAGACCAGATAGTTATTGGTCATTTTGTCATATGGAGATTTAGTCAACAAATTGACCAATAACAATTTTGTATCAAGCTCCATCCTTCTCAAGTAGAAGGCATCTTAAGCAATTGATTACATATCTGTTTTCATTGTGCCCACATAGCGAGTTACGGCGTCTTATAAGAATTCATATAAGAGAAGTCCCTCAGCGATAGGAAAAATAATATATGATGATGATATGACTCCACAAATAGATAAGTTCTGGACTTTAATAGAGGCTTGTAATAATGATAGCATTTTGCTTTCTCTTTAGACCTCAAACGGAGTGCATGAAATTGAAGAATCTGATGACGAAGCCCGAGAGGTAGAGAGCGAGACAGACGAAGCTACTCCCACTGCTCGTACAGTGACGCCAGCCCCCGCCCCCTCTGTTCCCGCCTCTCCCTCCGCTGAGCTCGTAGAACCATCTGAACCAAAGGAAATCACTACGAGAGCCGCTTATACACAAGACACTACCACTACTGTGAGTAATCATAAAAAGCCTTATCTCAATGAAAAATCTATAAAAAATGACTGGTTTCATGTGCGCGAGATAGCATGAATATAGTATTGTAAATGCAAGACTGATCTAATATGTTGTAATTGAAGAGTTTTTCCATTAGACGAATCAAACAAGAACACATATGATACGGGCTATGATGTCGTCTGAGCACGTAATTTAATCCCGTGATCTATCCACCAGCGAAATACAAAGAACGCAGCGTTTCATTATGGAATGATGTAGTGGGTAGAAATTTGCAATTTAAAGTAGGGAATTTGTGTTTTATTATGTTGAATATAAAAGTTTGATAATATTAATTGATGACTAATTTTAGTGAACTTAATTTGTACTTGAAACTCTCTCACTTTACTAGATATATAAAATGTTTGCAATGTAAAATATATGTAAGTTGTGTTCGTTTAAACTTGACAGAATATTTTCTATTCGCAGGAGGTGATCACCAGCACGGTGACAGAGGCCCCTGAAAGCGAGACTCCTGAGACCAACGAGCCCAGTGAAACATCGAGCCGTCGTTCCACTAGTGAGGTAAATAAAAATATAATCATAGGCTCTCTATTGAAATTTATTATAGAATATATTATTTAAGGTTATTATGGAATATATTATCTATCCTTTTATTCACTCGCTTTAGAGAAACGTGGACCTGTACAGTACTAACGCAAGTCATAATATCGAGCAAAAAACCAAAAAATCACGTTTGTTATATGGGAGCCCTTAAATATTTATTTTAATCTATGTTTTACTATTTGTTGTTATAATAATTGTCCAAGGCAAGCGTTAGATGCAAATATGACTTCTTGATCATTCAAGTTAAGAGTTTGTGACTTTAAATAATCCCATAAGTCATTATTACAATCACTATACCTTTGAAAAATATTGTGATGAATTTTAAATTAGACCAGGGATTTATTAGTATTTTATATAAATTAGTTGTGTTGTGTTATAGAATTCAAACTAAAACAGTATTTCATATTACCATTTGTCCTTAATTTAACAATATTATGGAATTTACTAAATATTAACACAATATTAATAGTTGAAGGGAGAGTTTGTTTGAAACAAGAATCTTAGTTTGAAACAAGTATCGGACTCGAAGTTTTGTTTAATTGGTAAAGTTTGCCATTGAAAGCATAACTTTGTTTAAGACGGTTGCGTCTCAAATTAGCTTGGAATTAGTTAACACCGTGAAATATTTCAATGGTGTTAATCCATCTCTGATAACTAATTGATCTTTTCATTTAGTTTTATTCGAAAATCAGAAATAATTCTACGATGTATCAGTTAAATAGTTTGTTTGTTTATGATATACGTTACTAAATGATTCATAAATTATTTATAAATAAATTATGAACAAGTGTCGAATTTCGAAACATTTTAGAGATGAATTAACCTTATATTAAAATAAGTTCTATATCAAAACACATTGGTTTTATATATTTTATAATAGTGATTAATGACTTTACTACTATGTATGTAACTCGTAATTATAATAATGAATTATAATGAATTTTCATAAATTAGACACTTTTTTTGTAGGGTTGTAACTCCCTAACCCTCGCTTAAAACAAAACTTTGTCCATTGTAAGAGTTGTGTGTAAACTCTCTTTAATTCAATCCAACATTTAGTTATTAAGTGGTTGCTAACGTATTTATGTTTGTTACACCTATGACCTACCTACTACCCACTAGGGATTTTTTAACCCACTATCTTACAAGTTCTTCCTGAAAGATATCTCTAGATGCGGCCATGATATTATCGTTTTATTTTCGCTCAAAACAGCTCTTAGATCATGTTCGAAATTGAGATGTTTTTATTTACCCTACAGAATAAACCGTAGATTTAAAATTAGAGACTGAAATAATTACTAGGACTGACTTAAACCCCTATTGGGATAAGTCATAGAGTAGGTTATAATATTTTAATTTAAAGATTATAACATTACCCCCATTCCCAATGAAAAAAGGATATTTTTCAGTATAGCATTGTGAATAAAATTGATTAAATATTTTAAATTATCCCTATTTTTGGGGTTAACGTATTAGCGTAAAAATGACAAAATATTGTATTGTTTACAATAAAATATTTTTAATAAATAAAATGATCTTTAATATTACAGACGGAGGGATCAGGGTTGCGTGCAGCATTAGAGCAGGCGGAAGAACGTGCGCCGCCGCCACCAGCGCATGCGCTCAAACATGAGTTGCAACATTCACAACCTGTACGTACCTTATATAACACAATATCTATTACCATCACGCATCCAAAATGCAATATTCAAATAATATTTAATATTCTTGCCACAGAAAAGAGGAACGATGAAATCGTCAGTAGGATATCGTGTAACACAAAAAGGATAAACAAATTATGTAATAGTCTTAAGAAAGCTCAAACCATACAAAAGTATAAAGAGTTATCACGAACCAGGCAAACAAAATATTAAGATGAAGTGCATAATGAAAACAAGAAAACAAAGATCTGCTGCCTTAGTATCATATGCATATATCGGTAATTTTCAAGCGTTGACAGTAACGCTCCCTTGTGGCTGTACTTTTTAACAGCAAAATGGAGTTATGTTTGTTCTTGAGGTTCAATTTATATTCATATCAAACACTAAAATCTCAGTGCATAGTTTTGCCGTGAAAGCTTTATAGATAAACTCAGCAACAGCAGAGATTAGAAATTAGATTATTCTTAATACAAAATGCTTAAAAAATCCACTTGGTCCCTGGCACCCTAAGATGGGAATCGAACCCACGACCTTTCGCAATCCGGGCGACTGCTCTAATCTTTTAAGTAGCCACTAGTCCTGGGTAGTCACTGAGCTACCCAGGACCTAACAGGACTGACGAATCTTTCAAGCAGTTGTTATTTTTGGCTACTACAGAGCGTATTCTCATCAATGTTCAGGCATCCACCCAAACAGCCGAAAGAAATATTGTTACAAATATTGAAACTTTCGATAAAGATGAGAATTTTGTTCTAATTATTATATTTTGATTAATTTTCCATTCACAATGCCACACTGAAAATTATTTTTAATACAATATGCTTAAAAAATCCACTTAGTTCGATTCCCATCTCAGGGTGCCAGGGACCAAGTGGATTTTTTAAGCATTTTGTATCAAGAATAATTTTCAGTATGGCATTGTGAATGCAAAATCAATCAAAATATAATTAGAAATAGATTATTCTTATTATAAAACAGTTTTTCTATTGTTTTTTAATTACATTAACATATTAAATACTACTTTGGTTTTTAAGAAGACTTGACCAAAAATGACGATAATTAATTTTCTTAAAGAAAGATTTCAAATCAATAAATATACTCTTTTTAAAAATTAGAAAACCATACATATTTTTCTCAATAGAAATAAATCACAAAATTACTCATAAACTTCCCATTACCATTTTTTCGCCTTGTTTTGCGTTTACTTAACGTGTCTTATTGACGACCTCAGTGGCCGAGTCGCTCGAACGCCAGTTACAATGTGTCACTGTATCGCGGGTCCTATTCCCATTCGGGTAGACAGATAATAGACTTTCAATATTTTCTCGGGTCTGCGTGTTGCGATAATTTCGTTGTTATTCCACAACACAAGTAATTTAGATATTGAGGGTCTTAGTAATGTGCCACGTTCTTAATGTTGATATATTATTGTAATGGTAGGGTTACACGGTCCGCGGCACCGGCGCCAACTCCCCGGGTAGCGGCGCGGGCGCGCTATACCCCGCGCTGTGCGTGGGCGGTGCAGCGCTCGCGGCCGCCGCCTGCGTCGCGCTCGCAGTGGCGCGCCGCCGCGACCGCGCGCCGCAAGCTCAGGGCTTCGTACAGGTAACGTTATCCAGCTCGAAGGACCAAACTGTAATGAATTATATCGGTTGTTCCAATGTTTAAGGGCCAATGTAGCACTTTAGCCATTTTTATGATGCTAACTTTCAGTATAACAAATAAACATCGAGTTAATCGTTACATACAATGTTACCGTATGCAGAAGAGCATTTTTAAAGATAAAACATATTTTGAAAGTGCTTTAAAACATAAACAGTGGGTATTGTTATCATAGCAAATATTATAAGCTTAAAATTTCATCATCATTAGCCTAATAATGTCCCAACTATTGAGGCATTCCCTATAGATGGACTTCATAGCCCATAGATGGATATTACTCCTTTCTCTATAGATAGATGGATAGGGCTTCTAACGCATCATGCAAGCTCAATGCGGATTGGTGGTTGAAGATTCAGATTTAGATATTTAAAAATATACAACTTTGTATCCCTTTAGTCTGCCTAAACCCATTTATTTACTTTATAATTTAAACTAGCTACATTGTTTTATATTAAGTATAGATAAAGACAGTATTACCATCTGGTTAATCCACAAATTAATTTCCAGGTGGAGCAGACTGGCGCGGTAGCCCCCACCCCAGAAGAAAGACACGTGGCCAACATGCAGATTAACGGCTACGAGAATCCCACCTACAAGTACTTCGAAGTCAAGGAGTAAGCCCCACTCCATTCCCATCACAAGCGACCCGCCTTCAACCCCTTCCCAACCCTCCATTTGGTAAGAATCTCTAGATGTGACAATTTTCTATTCAACACCGTGGCGACACATTCATGAAACTTGTATAAACAAATATTTCACACGTCACGGTAATGAGATCGAAATTTTTAAACTGTCGATGTGTGTTAGTCTCCCCTAGCATTGGGTGTTTTAAGCCCTTCCCTCTCCTTAATTATTTATGGAATCGATGTGTGTGTCTGAGTGTTTAACTATTTCTTGTGGGGTCTGGCGGGTGTTTAAATAATCCTATGTTTATTATAAAGTTAATTTTTAAATAAAGCTTGTGTGATTAGTGAACATAATGGAAAAATATGTATACACATCAAGTCAAGTATTGTTTATGATTAGCATTGATAATTATGATTTGATATTTTATTAAATTATTGTATGTTTTGTTTTGCACCAAAATATTTATTATCGTTTCTTAAGGTTAGATTAAGTCTAAGTTTTTTGTCTAGTGTCCTAGAAATTATAAGTGTCACATTTGTAGTTTTTTAACGTTAAGTTTTCGATTACCGCGGCCCGTACGGTGACATAGGACTCCACTTTGATACTTAAGTGATTTCGAGTCGTTTTTGGTGTCTTAAAGTTTTTCGTGTGATCTCATTTCTAGACATTTCTGTCGGTAGGTTAGTTTCCATTTTGGAGTAATATGTCACCGTTATAGGCAAGTGGAACAAACGTCCATGGTACGCTGTGTACATAGGCTCCGCGTACAAATTTGAAAACTAAATTACTTATCTTAAAGCCCGCTTTCATTTTCTTTTCTAAAGTAGGTAGATCATAACGTGAATTTTATGTAATAAATGCGAAAATATATTTTAATAATTAATGTGTACTTAGCAAAGGGACGGGCGGCTTAGCCGACGCGGGCGAATATCTCTTACTAGTCTCTTCTAGTCACTGGCTCTAATTCTGTAACTTACTTTGTACATTTTTGTGGAGATCTCTTTTGGAGTGGGCAATCTCTATCACTCTCTAGTATATCTTCCTTCTGTTCGCCCGCGGGACAATATTCGAGTTCCCGAAGTGAGAGGGACGCGTACTCAAAGTGTGCTTTCCAAATTGTTTATGATTCTTGATATAATTGCAAAAATCATAGAAAGTTATCATTCATCTAGTCAATGCGATATTACGGGGAAACAGTCTTTTACAGAACTTGCATTCCGTATCAAAAGAAAAAATATTTAATACATCCAAACAAAGCTTAATAAATTCTAAAATATAGTGACATAAGACTCATAATTGTACGAGTATGCTGGTTCTGTCGTAATATATATTCGGGAGTCAATCGGTGTTAAGGTTGTGCGCACACGTTGGGTACGTGGTCACCGAGCATTAAGCTTAGTGAGTGTATGTACGGTTAATATATAAGTAGATGTACAAAAAGTAATACATTATATAGATGTTTTAGCGTCAGATACATAGATATAAAGCAAAATATAATTATATATCGCATTCGTCCGTATAAATTAAGGGCTTGCGCTCGTGTCTAATCCCACGTACCACACTTAATGTTACGTCGTAGTTAAGATGTAATTCTGCCTCAGTATTATATACATTTAAGCTTATTTGTTACATAAGCTAATTTATATACACTATTTCTATTTGTTTACGGGCGTTGTGGCGTTGCTACAAATGAAGTCATATCACACGCGCCACGGCGTCATTTGCGGTTGCTTCGATAATGTATACAATAAAGTAAATCATCATTTTTTAACAGAAGATTTACAAGAAGAAGGTAAAAATATAGGTCAATACTAGAACAAACGAATTACGCCAGCAAAGATGTTACTTTGCATATCGAAATACAGATGGCGTTGTCATGTTTATCGAGGCAACCTTAATATGGCGCCCGCCCGTGGCTTGTATGGCATTTACGTAAGATACTCACTGTTTATAAAGTAAGTCTAACTCTGCATCGTAACCGCTGTGTATTTTTACTAACGTTATCAAAAACAAGCCGAACACTTATTTTTTTAACAAAACTTTTTGCTCAAACTCAGCTGTCTCTGACTGTCTTTATAATGTTCCAGTTTCAATAAAAAAAGTATCTCTACATTCGTCGTTTGTCAAATTGATGTTGTAGTAATCTGGTTTATGTACCCCTCCCGATCACTATTCACGTATTTTGATGAGAACATACATAATAAATAAATGGTTTGATGATTTTTGTGTTTACCGTGCTGCATTTTATTGTGAGTTCGAAGTTCAAATTGAATCAATAAATAGGAATTTAAAAATCAGTGTTTTCATTTTGATTTTCCCCGCTACTACCCCAATATGCAATGAAATACCTTTTTAAACATAGGGACTACGCATGTATTATGTGGGTGTTGAAATAGAACTAGAAACGCTACTTTCCGCTACTTAGATTTTACTTACTGCTGTATGTACTTTCGTTATATGGGGTGGAGTCAGCAAAGTATAGTAAAATTACATATTACAGAAAAAATTTACCTTTTTGTTCATTATTTAAGGTTAATGTAAAAAATCATTATCACATTGAAAGATTCGAATTTTTGTGCGATGGTAAACAAAAAGTAAAAAATAGTGAGCAGTGTAATAAATTGAATTTTATAATCATTTCTTTTCTTATGAATAAATACATGGTTCGCGAAAGTCACATTTTAACTAATACTTTTCGACCGTAATTTAACAGATTGATAGGTAAATCAGCTCAAGGTTTATATACAAAATATAATTTATAAACGTTGAATTATATATCCCTAATGATAATGCTATTGGGAAAAAATATTTTGTATAGAGATGCACTATGCATTTCTGACGTTCGAATAACCAAAATCTATAAGCGATGACACTACGTGTATAGCCTACAAGTGCTTGGTCGGAGTTCGAGTTAGAGTTCGTTTACTTTTTTGGTTTAACTATGGTATATCATCACTTATGAAAAACGAAGTAATTATATAGGTTTAGGTATCGGTTTGAATCAAGTACTAAAAGTATTTTATGAACATTCAGGCATTAGCAAAACTATTAAACGGAAGGCCAAAAATTTAATTGGTGTTTCTCAATGCTTGAAAGGTATGAAGGAGGTAACCCAAATATTAAATATGCATTATCACAATAATGAAAGATGGAAGCACTGTAACGAACTGGAAACAAAATATAGAATTCTGCCAATAGTTAATTTTATAATAATTTTGCATTCACAATTATATACTGAAAATATTCTTAATACTTAAAAAATCCAATCTCTTTTTTAAGCATTATTTATTAAAAATATTCTGCCAATAGGTTGTATATTTTTAAAGATACGCCGACAAAAAGAAAAACGGGCAAACTCAAGAATTTATCCTTCTTTGGAGAGATGGGTAATTTCTCAACAATTGTCCTAGAAGATAAAAGACAGTAAAACAGTTTCAGTGCCACCAAGAAGTTAGATTTTTCTCCATCACGACGACGCTTCAGAGTGCCTAGTGAAAGTTTTTTTGAGGTTTACTTTCACCTTCTATTTTTTTCAGTGCTACTTATAAACAAGGTTTAGCGTCAGAATCAACTTCAACACGCGTTTCAGAGTTCGCCATCCAAACATCTTCTTGCTGCACGTTTACAGAAATAACACGTCCTATTATAACCCAATTATCCGTATGTGTCGTCTATATAATGATCTAGCGGGGAAACAGGAAAGCTTGGACATTATGAATGATCGCCCTGGTCTGTTTAAGCGATGTATTACCGATGTGCTTATTGAGTCGTGTTGAATGTGTAATTATTGGTTATTTTATTAATTTCGATGTTGTAGTCACTGATAAGGTACAATTTTGGGATTGATTTGTAAATTTATTGTAATTAGTTTTAATGTAATCTAATTTTATTCTTTATTTTATGCATGAAAAATATAATATACTATTATGCAACCTTTATAATTGTCATGATAAGGCCACGAGGATTTGGTTTACAATCTAGTTTATAAATTACTTGAATTGCTGTAAATTAAACTCAATTTGATTGTGAACTGTTTTGTGTCCTAACTTAATAAATAAATAAATAAATAAATAAATTTACGCTAAAATTGCAATTTTAGTATTAGTCACTATTTATATTACACAGACAATAAACAAATTTACTACCTTCTAGGAGCAAATATTACTCCAGTAGAACCTCCTACTAGGTTAACCTTTGTTAAGTCTCTGTTTAATAATATGAATTTTGACTAATACGAAGAGCAGTCTCAACATAAAAACAGTTCGTATGTTTAACTAAATATAAAATTACAATTATCAAATAGAACAAATACATACCCCCTTTTGGGTTTCTCGTGATATGTAAACTTGGATGATATTTCTAGATATAATTTTATTTTAAATAATATATAATTTCTATTTTAATCATAATAACTTCATTATTATAATATTTTATATTTAATTTAATACGATTTACAATAACATGTTCACAACAGATAATTTTTTACGAAGTGATATTCATAAAGAGCATATTGGATTAATCAAAATTTCAAATTACGAAAGGTGAATAATAAAAAGAAATGATGTTGAATGTCAAAGAAAAAAAATTTGCGTACTGAAACCTAGGACAATATAAACGGTGGTACGGCACACCGTTACAATACAAATTTTAAATGTATTTATTAGTAAGCTTTCTGCGCCAGATTCATAAGAGATAAATAAATCTCTCACAAGCTTTATCTTGGGACACGGTTAATATTCTTCAACAATACTAATCTAAAAATGTAAAATCAACAGAAATAAAACATAAAAATAATCATTTACTGATTCTAAATTGAAATATCTCTACATTAGTAGTAGAAGACATTTATTTTGTCAACACACAACACAAGACAGTATAAAACAAACGAAACAATTAATAGTTTCGCATATAACATTTAATTGGTTACAATTAATGTACACAAGAAAAGTTTAAATGGGAAATTATTCATTGATTTACATTCTTTGACATAGATGCTATCTTTTTACTATTGAAACGTTGATTAGTTTCTGTGTTTAAAAAAAAACGACTTAAAAGTATAATTCGTTCTTAAAAACTAAAAAGATGGAAATCCGATAAACTTCATGGAGGAGAGTTTTCGCCATTCTTTTAACCAACCGCTTTCTCATGAAATTTATTTGTCAATTGTCTTTTGTAATTTAATAAATATGTTTGTTTTTTTTTATTTTTGTAGTAGTAGGTTTTAGTTTTAATTGCAAACAAACTTTTATTTGAAAATTTTTTTGGGTGATAACGACCTCATTAAGATAATTAAATATTTTATTTGATTTACTTTTCTCATATAAAAACAAAACTACTGATTCTATTTCAATAAAATATACTTCCAAATACAAAAATAATTGACAGAATCGGTCCACTACTGACGAAGATATTGTGGACGATACTTGCAAAAAAAAGGAATCAATGGAGAAAGTCCTCTTTTAATAGAACCGTTTAAAATTAAACTACTGGAAATACTTAGTAATATCACGCACACGAAATTGTAAGCAAAAACTAGTAAAAGAAGAAGTTCATAAAATTTGATACAAGCACTCCATTGACAATGAAAAAGAATGGACCTTGACATTCCAATATAAAATTCTGCTGACATTAAACAAAACTTTAGATCGAGGGAACTGCTATAACTAACTCAACATAAAAACATTTATTATTACTTGTATATCGGTGTCGACATCTTCATAAAGTTGTTAGTACTATAACAATGCGTATAAGATATTACAAGTCTCCGCTCAAAAAGTTCCGATCCATTTGATACAAGCTTTTAGTTGAGTTTTAATGTCAAATATCATCAACAGATGGCGTTATGTGTCCCTAACAAAATGTAGACTTCATCTATGGAATGAAAATAACTCCGCTACATGGAACTTAATAAGACAACGATCGTTTGTTATTGTTTTTATTGTATTAGTATTGATCGAGACGTGGTTTTGAACGTTATAAAATGTATTTTATATTAGGATTAATAAGCATGAATCCAATAAAATAGATAACGTGGTAAAATCAATTAGGCTACACAAACGTGACGATGTGACGTGTACGATTGAATTTTAATCAAAGCGTGCTTTGCAATGAGCATCACTGATAAACTCGGCGCCTATTAAATGACAAACTGTTAATAAACATTGTTCTGTCTTAGGATTATTAAGCGATTGATAATTTATTGTTGTAAAATAAACAGATTGATCATAGAGAAAGTAAACGGATATGATTTTGAGATACAGAGCGGTAGTCGCTTTTGCCAGATCTTTTTTATTTATATGTAGGTATAATATTATGTAGAAAAGGTATGTCAATACACTATGTATATTATGTTGTCTATACTAATATTATAAAGAGGAAAGATTTGATTGTTTGTTTGCATTAAATGGGCTCCGAAGCTACTGAACCGATTCTAAAAATTTTACACACACACACACATAGGATTTATTTTACTCGGGCGAGGTCGCAGGAAAGCAGCTAGTTGGGTAAGTAAATTGTGTACGGTTCGAGTTGAAATTTGGCCACTTATAACTAATACGGCGTTCGCCAATAAAGGAATTAAAAGAATTCTTGATTTAAAGTCACTATAGAGGATTGATAATATGTACAGGCGACAGCATGTCAAGCTTAGAGCTTAGAGATTTATCTGCTTGTATAAGCAAATATGTAATAATCTGTGATGATCAGAGGTCGGAATTAGGTAGAATTATTTATGTACTTGCATCGAAATGTTGATATTAATGTGGACCTTCCCGGGATTTCTTTATTTCTTCTTTCTTTATTTCTTTCTTTCATTGATGTAAGTTTGGCAACGTCGTGAGTGCAGTAGTTTAAATTGTGTAAAAGTAAATAACTTTTTATTTAAAAATCACGCGATTTTTTCTGCTCTTTAAAATTAATCTCGGAATTTGAGGCATATCCACTTTATTCTTTCGCTGTATGAAATCAGTGTAAGTACACGAATAACTCTACCTAATTCCGACCACTGGTGATGATATAAAGATAGAAAAATGGAAATAGAAGTTTTTTTTTGTTATTTTCTAAAATATAAATACATTCAGAGTAGACGTACACGATATGGTGTACAAAAGTTATTATTTCTTTGAAACTTGCTCTCAAATCTAATAAAATAACGTATATAATAAATAGTGTCTATTCTCTCCTCAAGCCTCGAGACAATCATTTTTGAACTTAAACTATAAATAGATTAAGGCTAAAAATTTATTGCTGAATGTGATATTTCGTAGTAATATGAAGTGTATTTGTACGT